GTTTTCTTTCCTGCAAGCCTCATTGGCCAATTGATCTACAAAGTCATGTTTTTCAACTCCAACATGGGATGGGATCCACACAAATTTTATACAAGAATTATTATCATTGGCAAAAATTACATTCCATTTAATATTACAAGCTACTTCCGACATACATTGTGATGGGTTATTTAAGGACTGCAGAGCACTTTTAGAGTCACAGAAAATAACTCCACCACCATTGAGCTTAAGGTATTCAGTGGCTAGATAAATACCCAATAGCTCGGTCTGTGTCGTGCTTGCCCAGTTGTTCAATCTCTGTGTACTAGTCATGATCATTTCATTCCCTTTATACACTGCACATGCACAACCTGTTCTACCAGTGCCTAACTGCACAGAGCCATCAGTAAAGGCATAGGATTCAGTCGGTTTGAGAATTTGAAGATGACTGTCAATAGCTTCTAATGTTATACATCTCAAAATGTCAGTGTTATACATTTGTTTTACACTGATGGGAGTATAATGCAGAGAGACCTCCACATCTTTCCAAGGGGGAATATAGTGAACAGTTTTATCAGGGTTAAGAGATACATTCAGTTTCTGAAGATTATAGACACAACAACTGAGCCACACACTGTAGGGAGCTTTTTGCGGCGGATTGAGGGAACAGTCAGAATTGTTTAGAATGGATCTCAATTTAATTTGAATAGAGCTGGGGGGACCATTATTTTTCAAAGTTTTGGCGCAAAACATAGTACTAAGTAGAACTATTCTTTCGTAAATGGAAGGTAAGTTTAGTTCCTTTCTCATGTTAACAATTCTGACAGTTCTAGGACAACCCAGGATGATGCGCATGGCATCATTCTGTACTACATCTAGGCCTTGTAATTGTTTAGGAGAAAAATTAAGAAGATGCAAGGCATAATAATCAACAACAGATCGTATAAAGGCAATATAAAAACTACGAGCATATTTTATGTTAATGCCAAATCCTTTGCCAACAAGAGTTCTGAGAGGTTTAAGACGCTCAACAAGTTTTTTACGCAGGTTGCTGATGAGATTTGTATCATTAACCTCGACTCCAAGATATTTATAAGACTCACAAGTCTCCACGGGCACTCCATTAATAGTATAGTTAGCATGAAGAGAATGGGGAATAAGAACCCTTGTTTTATCAACAGAGATTATGAGGCCACATTCTACTACTTTCTTGGAGAATGCATCAAGTAACATTTGTAGCCTTGGTTTACTGTGTGCCATAATACAAATGTCATCAGCATAACATATAACTGTTTCCGTAGGTTGTACAGGTATGTCATGGATAAGTTTGTGCATAAGTATATTGAAGAGCATAGGGCTTAGGACACCGCCTTGAGGTGTGCCTAGTTCGAATGCATCTGTTCTTGTACTTTTAACTCCTTTAAATAGGACACTAGCACGCCTGTTGGATAGGTAGCTCTTTATCCAACTCAGAAGATTACCTTTGATTCCAAATTCAGCAAGTTGCTCTAATATTATTTCGCCATTCGCTACATCGAAAGCTGACTTTAGGTCAATAAAGGCTGCCTGTGTCCCATCCTGGGAGTTTACAAAGTATTCAGCAAAGCATGTTTGTGTGCTACACTTGGGCATGAACCCATATAGGTTTGGGGCCAGTTTTTCTTTGACCTGAAACATGACACGATTGAGAACAATTCTCTCCAAGACTTTACACATGCAAGATGTAAGGGAAATGGGTCTGAATTTTGAGAGTTAGGTTTAGGAATTGGTATTATGAGACTTTGTGTCCATTTCTTTGGCAAGATACCTTGTGAGAGACTCATTTGATAGAGGTCAAGCAGAGGGTGGCTAGGGACATCATTCAGTAAGCTCAAGATGTTATAAGTTATACCATCCTCACCAGGGGCAGTTTGCCTAGGTTTTCCTAATGCTGATGTTAATTCAAAGGGGGTTATAGGAAACTGATCCGTTAAATCTGGTGAGGAGCGTGCTATTTCAATATTAAAGTTTCTGTTAATGTTGGTATGTCTTAAGAACACGTCAACCACGTCAGCCAGGGAGGAAAATCTTTCAAGGATAACATTACCGGATGAGAAACGGCGTCTCCGGAGGGCCTGTCCCGCTATTCCATACGTTCATTTCTATGACTCAATGCATGACGAAGTCCTGCGAGCGGCAGCTGATAAAAATAGCGTTGGAATCACCTGAAAACAGTGAATATACCTCAGTTCAGGATATGTTTATTTTTATATATATTAAGAAATGTCCGTTGCAGTCTCGCTATATTGCGTCAGGGCGATAGACTCATCATACAGGAAAAGCATTTCATGAAATACCTGACCTCAGTTTTACATGACCTAATACAAGTTAGTTATTTTCCCTCTGCCTCCGAAGATGATGATGAGAGCTTTAACGAAACACGTTCTTCACTGACACGCTTTGTCAAATAGAATCATAGAACTAATCATTTCCGTCATGTTCAATAAAACACACACACACACACACACACACACACACACACACACACACACACACACACACACACACACACACACACACTCACACACACACACACACACACACACACACACACACACAGACACACACACACACTCACGCGCGCACACACACACACACACACACACACACACACACACACACACACACACACACACACACACACACACACACCTTGGTGAATACCCAGGTTTTCACGGCTGAGATCCAGGGTCGTAAAGACATCTTACCATGTCGTGGAACAGTGGTGTAAGGCACTTGTTTCGGAGTACCCAGAGCATGGGTTCGAATCCCTCACACGGCTCCTACTGATTGTCTCATTGATACATTACTTTAAATGCGATTTCATCGTTCATTTGAAAAGAAGCGTAGGAGGTAGACTTCCTTGATTACAATCCGGAGTTCTTGGGGGTGTGAAGCCCCATTTAGGCTTCAGTGTAAGCCTCAGGAACCCTAGAGAAACCCAGGTTGCAAGTCGTGGTGTAGTGGTCTAATAAGGCGTTTCCTTGGGAGTACCCAGAGCATGGGTTCGAATCCCTCTCATAACTCCTATGGATTTTTACTCAGAAGCATTATTTGCATCATCAAGGTTGTATTTATGAAAAATTTATGTAAATTTATTAAATTATGTAATATATCTATTTATGTAAATACAATTCACATGAAAGCGTATAGGTCTAAATAGACATCGTGAGCATTTTTGAGCATTTTTTGTGCTCCCGCCCAAATAAAAACTAAAAACAAATTCCTATTTTAAGAACTTTTATAGCACTTCTCTTAACCCCTAAACAGCGCAGCTATTTAACAGCACTACAGTGAGGTGTGCACGTTTATAAATAGTTAACAAATCAAATGGGAGAAAATAGCATATGGTATTTGGAACAGTTTCAGGTTTAATATATCTTATGATCAGTATTCTAATACTGACTTAGCTATAAGCTTGAGTCACAGAGTCTGTGGATGAGTCACAGAGTCTGTGGATGAGTCACAGAGTCTGTGGATGAGTCACAGAGTCTGTGGATGAGTCACAGAGTCTGTGGATGAGTCACAGAGTCTGTGGATGAGTCACAGAGTCTGTGGATGAGTCACAGAGTCTGTGGATGAGTCACAGAGTCTGTGGATGAGTCACAGAGTCTGTGGATGAGTCACAGAGTCTGTGGATGAGTCACAGAGTCTGTGGATGAGTCACAGAGTCTGTGGATGAGTCACAGAGTCTGTGGATGAGTCACAGAGTCTGTGGATGAGTCACAGAGTCTGTGGATGAGTCACAGAGTCTGTGGATGAGTCACAGAGTCTGTGGATGAGTCACAGAGTCAGTGGATGAGTCACAGAGTCTGTGGATGAGTCACAGAGTCAGTGGATGAGTCACAGAGTCAGTGGATGAGTCACAGAGTCTGTGGATGAGTCACAGAGTCTGTGGATGAGTCACAGAGTCTGTGGATGAGTCACAGAGTCTGTGGATGAGTCACAGAGTCTGTGGATGAGTCACAGAGACATGAATTTTTTTTTTCAGTGTTAGACTGTTAATAAGTGGGGACAGGTTAATTGTAGAAAGCGCTGAAGCTAATTCAGTTCAAAATCTTTTAAAGCCAATATGAAAAAAGGGGCAAGAAATGAGTCCTTGCATTAGTGTAAGATTGTTCAGAAGGCGGGGTTCAGAGCTTAACCCTGCCAGCACATCTAAGTGGGTACATATAGGTGAGTAGACGCACAGCGATTCTCATACCCTGGACCCGGGTTTGATTCCCGGCCGGGAGAGAAACGAGGAAAGTCTCTTTCACCTGATGCCTCTGTTAACCTAATAGTAAATAGATACCTGGCTGGGGGTCGCGTTTTTGACGTTATCGTTTCTAACATTATAAACGCAAACTAATAAGTAACGCAACGGCTAACAACTATTCACATTTTCTTTGCATCGGACTCAATAGGTTGTATATGTTTCTTGTTAGCCTAGAAGGTTGCATTTATTACGGAATGGTAAACCAAGAGAACAGTCTAGATTATTAGTCATGCAGGGTGAGTAATGTAACGTGATTGTATATATATAATATACATATATATATATATATATATATATATATATATATATATATATATATATATATATATATATATATATATATATATATATATATACCCTGCGTGGTAGGAGAAGAAAATATCAAAGTGTTCAGTGAGGATCCACAAGGTCTTCTCTGAGTACTCTTTATTTTCTTCTCCGAGGCTTTGGGTCCCTACACTTGCACCAGAGGTGGTACCCCTTTTAGGTTTGAAAAAAAAATTATTATTATTATATATATATATTATTATTATTATTAAATTATTATTATTATATATATATATATATATATATATATATATATATATATATATATATATATATATATATATATATAATTTAAGCAGGACGCCACCAGCTCAACATGAGCAGACAAGGAAGTGACTCTAACCATAATATCTTGTAACTCTAATACTGACCCTTCTAATAATTCCTCCCCCCACAGTGGCCCCGGGCAAGAAGCAATGCCTGAAACGACCTGAGCACAAACGAAGACTTCATGAACTGAAAGACATCATGTGTTTAACTCCAAAAGATGCCCTTGTACCCCTGCCTGTACCCGACGGTTTGGACTGGGTACGTTATGTCTGTATTTACCTCAAAAGAGTGTCATGAGCATGGTAGAGGAAGCCCTGTGCACTTTCAGAGAGCCCTGTGCACTCTTAGAGAGCCCTGTGCACTCTTAGAGAGCCCTGAGCACTCTTAGAGAGCTCTCTGCATATAATAGAACCCTCTACGTTCTACGAACACTCTCTGAGCTCTAAGAAATCCCTTTGCGCTCTACGAAAGCCTTCTGCACTCAAACAAAGCTATATTCACTCTAAGAAAGTCCTCTACCCTCTAAGAAATGGCCCTCAACTCTAAGAGAGCCCTATGCACTCCAAGAGAGAACTTTGGATTCTAAGAAAGCCCTCTTCAATGAAAAAAGCTTTTTGTACTCTAAGAGAGTCCTTTGCGCTCTTGGAGGTCATTTGCACTCTAAGAAAGCCCTCTGTAATCTAACAAAGCCCTCTACACTCAAACAAAGCCCTCTGCACTCAAACAAACCCCCTCTGCACTCAAACAAACCCCCTCTGCACTCAAACAAAGCCCTCTGCACTCAAACAAAGCCCTCTGCACTCAAACAAACCCCCTCTGCACTCAAACAAACCCCTCTGCACTCAAACAAAACCCTCTGCACTCAAACAAAGCTCTCTGCACTCAAACAAACCCCTCTGCACTCAAACAAACCCCCTCTGCACTCAAACAAACCCCCTCTGCACTCAAACAAATCCCTCTGCACTCAAACAAACCCCTCTGCACTCAAACAAATCCCTCTGCACTCAAACAAATCCCTCTGCACTCAAACAAACCCCCTCTGCACTCAAACAAATCCCTCTGCACTCAAACAAACCCCTCTGCACTCAAACAAATCCCTCTGCACTCAAACAAACCCCTCTGCACTCAAACAAAGCCCTCTGCACTCAAACAAACCCCCTCTGCACTCAAACAAACCCCTCTGCACTCAAACAACCCCCTCTGCACTCAAACAAACCCCTCTGCACTCAAACAAAGCCCTCTGCACTCAAACAAAGCCCTCTGCACTCAAACAAATCCCTCTGCACTCAAACAAACCCCTCTGCACTCAAACAAAGCCCTCTGCACTCAAACAAACCCCCTCTGCACTCAAACAAATCCCTCTGCACTCAAACAAAGCCCTCTGCACTCAAACAAATCCCTCTGCACTCAAACAAATCCCTCTGCACTCAAACAAATCCCTCTGCACTCTAAGATTTTAGCAGAGGGATTTTGACAGCTTGAAGATCACCACTTCATGGGAGGCTATTCAACTACTCAGAGGTCACCTCTTCAGTTATACACCTGAGATTATTAGAGTTATACAAGTGTCATTAATTCCTATAATTTTGTCTCCGAGACGTACTGAAGCGTCTTAGCTTTCAGCCATGAGACAACCACTTGGGGTGGACGGTAGAGCGACCGTCTCCCTTCATGCAGGTCGGCGTTCAATCCCCGACCGTCAATAAGCAGTTGGGCACCATTCCTTTCCTTTCGTCCCATCCCAAATCCTTATCCTGACCTCTTCCCAGTGATATATATTCATAGTGGCTTGGTGTTATCATCTGATAGTGCCTTTCTTCCTTGAGACAGCTTTTCTCTAGCCAAATCTTTTAATATAGTCTACGGTTCATTGCAGCACTTCCTTTGTAAAGTATTAACATTTTGTCATTGAAAAATTAAATATTATGTATTCAAACAGCATCGGCTAGAGAAGATTACAGTCAAAATGTATATTTATTTTCAATAAAACTTCATTGAAAATGAAAATGAACTCCGGCACTATAGAAAATGGGTGCCATAGTGCAGGTGTAACTAACACATGTGCGTTATGTCTGCAGGTGTACCCTGGGGTTTGGAAGGTGAAGAGGTGCTCAGGACAACTGTGCATCAAGACCAACGAACACTGTGCAGCTGTAGCTGCCAAAAACCTCACTATCAAGGTGGGTGCCCTCATTCATGCAGCCTCACTATACCCCCTCACTATATGGTCCCAAGTCAAGCATTCACAAAGAAGTTACGCGTCCACATCTTCTCTCCTCCCTCATGGCAGCTTAATTGACATTGACTAAATAGTGTATGGGCTCCAAAGTGCCACAAAGTCGTTAGTGATAATAATAACCTTGCGACGTCGCAGCGTTTGAGAGCTCGTAAACTGTTTAATTAATACAGACTAAACCGCCTTGATCGTGGAAAGATGTACAGGTTTCGCGAGTGGACATAAACTGATAAGTAAATAGGACGTGACCTATCAGGATGGTAATAATAAATCCAGGTCTTGTAACTACCTTGTGAATACCTTGAACTTATAAATAAACATTATAAGTAATCATATGTTTGTAACCCAAGCAAGACTGGGGATACTTACAGGAATTTACTTACAACTTCACCTAGTTGTGCTTGCGGGGGTTGAGCTTTGGCTCTTTGGTCCCGCCTCTCAACCAATGTGTTTCAATCTCCTCCGACAGGTTGAGGGCATGAAGCTGAATAACATTATGGAGAAAATTTGCACTCAAGTGACGGTTGAGGAGCACACAGAATGTGGGTGCATGTGCACTAAGAGCCAGAGTTCCTGTCGTCAAAATGAGGTGAGTACACCCACTCACAGAGTGCACCTCAGGGTCCAGCCCAGCCTCAGACTGTGCTCGTTCCAGCTGTGGCTGACCCAAAAGACTCATCAATTATAATTTATTTTGTAAAGAATAAACTTTGGTAGTTTATTACAAATTAATGTTTTGAGGAATGTGATGCACGTTTTCTGCAAAGCTGTTTGACAGTCTCATAATATATATATATATATATATATATATATATATATATATATATATATATATATATATATATATATATATATATATATATATATATATATATATTTATAGATATAAATAAATTTATATATATAAATATATATATATTTATATATATATATATATATAGATTTATCATATATATATATATATATATATATATATATATATATATATATATATATATATATATATATATATATATATATATATATATTTTATTATATCATATTAGGAACATAATTTATTGACTTAGTTGTGATAGTTTAGGTTAGGTTAAGATAAGTTAGGTTAGGTTAGGTTAGGCTCGGTCATATATCTATGTTAGTTTTAACTCAAATTTAAACAAATTAACTTATACATAATGAAATGGACAGATTTATCATTTCATAAGAAAAAAATTTAGAAAAATATGTAAATTCAGGAAAACTTGGCTTATTAGGCAAATCGGGCCTTGCATAGTAGGCCAAGTACGACGTTCTGGCTACTAGGAACAACATATATATGTATATACATTGGGGGGGGGGTTGCAAATTGGAGCTTGAAATATCATTGCACGAAACATTTGTGTATGAGAATGCTCGAAACATTAAATTATAATAAAGTTACAAAGTCAGTTTCTGTCTGTGGCATTACTTACCCATAAACCCCCACTGGAATCAATAATTTATCACAAAACATTTATACTCAGATTCATAAACAAACCTCAGTCGATATGTCCCAATAACGTGGTTGAAGAATGTTGACCAGACCACGCACTAGAAAGTTAAGGGACGACGACGTTTCGGTCCGTCCTGGACCATTCTCAAGTCGATCATTTACAATCGACTTGAGAATGGTCCAGGACGGACCGAAACCTCGTCGTCCCTTCACCTTCTAGTGTGTGGTCTGGTCAACACACCTCAGTGTACCCTCGAAACATTAAAAAGTACAAATATGCATCTTGGAAAAACCTGCTTTATCAAACAATCTTTCTCAGCCATTCTTATCCAAGCTCTTGATAATGTTAACATTTCTCAATGTCATATTGCCATTTAGTCCATCTAATTCGACTGGTCGGTAGAGCGGTGGCCTCACTTTCTTGCAGGTCGGCGTTCGATTCCATGCAAATGCTAACTAGTCATCTTGAATCAGTGGCTTCACCTTGCTATTTTGTATATAATTATTTCATATGTGTTGCAGGTGTTTAGTGAGGCCATGTGTGAGTGCCTCTGCAGTCCGGAGGTGAAGAACAAGTGCCTGGCACGCATGGAGATGTTCCCTGGCACTTGTATGTGGGATCCAAGAACTTGCACCTGCCCTTGTAACAGGGTCATTCCCTGTGGCACTGGCCAGGTGTGGGTGCCGGAGATGTGCAGGTGAGTAGTGGGGATGTGTGCAGGTGTGTGTGGAAGATGTGTGTTCAGGTGTGCAGTGGTGATGTTCGCTTAACAATGAATAAAATGACCTAATATATATATATATATATATATATATATATATGTCGTACCTAGTAGCCAGAACGCACTTCTCAGCCTACTATGCAAGGCCCAATTTGCCTAATAAGCCAAGTTTTCATGAATTAATTGTTTTTCGACTACCTAACCTACCTAACCTAACCTAACCTAACTTTTTAGGCTACCTAACCTAACCTAACATGTAAAGATAGGTTAGGTTAGGTTAGGTAGGGTTGGTTAGGTTCGGTCATTTATCTACATTAATTTTAACTCCAATAAAAAAAAATTGACCTCATACATAATGAAATGGGTAGCTTTATCATTTCATAAGAAAAAAATTAGATTAATTATATTAATTCAGGAAAACTTGGCTTATTAGGCAAATCGGGCCTTGCATTGTAGGCTGAAAAGTGAGTTCTGGCTACTAGGTACGACATATATATATATATATATATATATATATATATATATATATATATATATATATATATATATATATATATAAGCAGACTACTGAGACCTTTCCTAACAAGTGAATGTTTTTGGTATAGCAGACACAGACAACAAAACAGTCCACAGTGATTCAACACTCCCAGCAGCAGACACAGACATCATAGAACAGTCCACAGAGATACATCACCCTCATCAGCAGACTGTAACCCTTAACTCTGTTCCCCCCCCCTCAGCTGTTTGAATGTAATGGAGGATAATGGCGTGATGATGCTGTCCGCGCGTGTCTAGATGGCTCCTTCAGCACGTCCTCACCCTAAGCACTGTGACCCCAAGCACAGTGACCCCAAGCACAGTGGCGCCAAGCACAGTGTCCCCAAGCACAGTGGTGCCAAGCACAGTGACCCCAAGCACAGTGGCGTGAAGCACAGTGGTGTCATTCAAGAACCAGGGGGCAAGAACTATCAATCTCCAGCAATTGTGAACCTCTGGAAAAACGCGCGATAAATTATACTAATATTGTTTTTAAGATTTCATCGATGGTACTAATATAGTCTTTAAGACTTCATCAATGGTACTAATATAGTCTTTAAGACTTCATCAATGGTACTAATATAGTCTTTAAGACTTCATCAATGGTACTAATATAGTCTTTTAAGACTTCATCAATGGTACTAATATAATCTTTAAGACTTCATCAATGGCACTAATATAATCTTTAAGACTTCATCAATGGTGCCTCTCAATTTATTGTTTCATGAAACTAATTATATGACGATTTTTGTAATATTAAAAATTTAGCTCAAAAGCAGTAAATTGTTTACTTAACATTTATAGTGAGTCTTATATTTTGATTCCTGAGTTTAACTCTGAGATAATGTTTACAGATCACTGGAGGATTACCCGGCAGAGTCCGGGTCTCTCTGAGCCGAAAAATAAAAAAAAATTATCCCTGCTTTTCGATAAAAAAATGCTTTATATAACATTTAGGACAAATTTCACACTAATTAAAAACCCATTTTTATCAATAACAATCGTTATTTTTTTAGCCAATATCTCGGCTCGCATTTCAATTTAAAAAAAGAAATGAAATTATATTCATGATTGTAATATATATAAATCCAAAAAGGAAATATACCAAATTACTATTGAGAAGCAAAGACCTAAAATGCCTAAAATTACCTAAAAAGACCTAAATTACCCATAATTGTAAGAAATAGCCGGATACAGCTAATTTGGTCCCCCTAGTTCCTTGATATAAGCATCTGGAGAAGATAGGTTAAGTAATAATTGTAAATAAGAAGCAATAAGATGCTTATCTTAACATACTAAGAAGGTTAGGTGAGGTCGGTGTTTTCTATGAAGCTTTTCAAGGTAAAGTAAAATATTCACAATCAATTAGTATGTCACTTATGCACTTATTAAATAAGCCAATATTGACTAAAGCAAGTGCGAGAACGGGTTGGGAAAATACAGGGAAATACAAACCAAACTGATCACACACCTTTATAAGTAAATATCTCCAGCTTAACAAAGTTCAAGTATTACCAAAGACACACACACATATATATATATATATATATATATATATATATATATATATATATATATATATATATATATATATATATATATATATATATATATATATATATATTTTTCATTCTTTCCGGCATGACCCCAAAGCTGTCAAATGAGAGAGATTTATAAGACGCTTCGGCGTAAATTATAATGAAGTCTTTATTCCACCGCATACAATAATTACTATAAAATGAGATTCGGAAGGATCGACTTTTTCCAGAACACAATCAATGACTGACTGAGGATTGAGCATAATAAGTAAAAGCCCTTCACTTGGCTTAGAGAAGGCAGGCTTATCCTCTCAAGTTTATCCTCAGCATAGCAGTACGCTTGGCCTCAGCATAGCAATTCACTTGGCCTCAGCATAGCCATAAGGCTCGTTGCGCTTGCCTGGGAGCAAGTATCCCGAACCCCATGGATCTTGGGAGCTCAGTTTACCAGATGGCGCCGCTGCCCTAGCAACACACACGTCTGGGTGGATGAATTAAAGATCCACGGTGTTTCTAAGATGCTGTGGGCATGCCAGACGTGCCCCGAGGACCGTCTCCAGTGGTCGTCAGGGGTGACCAACAGCCACCAGCTTGACGTATGGCTCCCATGTAAACAATGGAGTGGAGCTGGCGGTCAGGGCAGTGTTAACGAGCAATTTATACAATTGGAAGTTTCTTGGACGGAGTAGTAAGGCCAAATGTAATTACAGCTGTAATTAATAATTAATAATCAATAAATTCAGTCTGTCCAATCTATTACATCTCTTTCCCTGTCTCTCCACATTTCTTCTATAACATGGCGTCTCTCCCAAAATGCTTCCTCAGGCCAAACTACTTATGGTGGACGTTAGAGCCACGGTCTCGCTTCATGCAGGTCGGCGTTCAATCCCCGACCGTCCAAGTTGGTTGGGCTCCATTCCTTCCCCACCGTCCCATCCCAAATCCTTATCCTGACCCCTTCCAAGTGCTATATAGTCGTAATGGCTTAGCACTTTCCCCCCTGATGGTTCCCTTCCTCTGTCTGTCTCTCTCTCTCTCTCTCTCTCTCTCTCTCTCTCTCTCTCTCTCTCTCTCTCTCTCTCTCTCTCTCCTACGCTCCCTCCCCTCTCCCACCTCTTCCCCTTTCTCCCATCCCTCTCCTCAACCATCTCTCCTCTCAACGTGTCTTCTTCCCTCTCCCCCACCCCCCCTTTCATCCTTTCTTTGTCTTAACAAATATATAAACAAAGTAGCAAATAAGTCTGCGGACAATACAACCAACATTTCAGACTTGATATGAAAATCGCACGGATAAGACTGGGGAGGTGGAAGGATTAGATGCCGATATTTCTTAAACTGTGGCACTGGAGCTGACCCCGATTTGCTTACAACTCTAACCTCTTTACTCTTTGTCTCTTTAACAACAGAGACAGGTCTTTAATAACAGAGGCAGGTCTTTAATAACAGAGGCTGGTCTTTAATAACAGAAACAGGTCTTTAATAACAGAGGCTGGTCTTTAATAACAGAAACAGGTCTTTAATAACAGAGGCTGGTCTTTAATAACAGAAACAGGTCTTTAATAACAGAGACAGGTCTTTAATAACAGAGGCAGGTCTTTAATAACAGAGGCTGGTCTTTAATAACAGAAACAGGTCTTTAATAACAGAGGCTGGTCTTTAATAACAGAAACAGGTCTTTAATAACAGAGGCTGGTCTTTAATAACAGAAACAGGTCTTTAATAACAGAGGCTGGTCTTTAATAACAGAAACAGGTCTTTAATAACAGAGGCTGGTCTTTAATAACAGAGACAGGTCTTTAATAACAGAGGCAGGACTTTAATAACAGAGACAGGTCTTTAATAACAGAAACAGGTCTTTAATAACAGAGGCAGGTCTTTAATAACAGAGGCAGGTCTTTAATAACAGAAACAGGTCTTTAATAACAGAGGCAGGTCTTTAATAACAGAGACAGGTCTTTAATAACAGAGGCAGGACTTTAATAACAGAGACAGGTCTTTAATAACAGAGGCAGGACTTTAATAACAGAGACAGGTCTTTAATAACAGAGGCAGGTCTTTAATAACAGAGGCAGGTCTTTAATAACAGAGGCAGGTCTTTAATAACAGAGACAGGTCTTTAATAACAGAGGCAGGACTTTAATAACAGAGACAGGTCTTTAATAACAGAGGCAGGTCTTTAATAACAGAGGCAGGACTTTAATAACAGAGACAGGTCTTTAATAACAGAGGCAGGTCTTTAATAACAGAGGCAGGACTTTAATAACAGAGACAGGTTTTTAATAACAGAGGCAGGTCTTTAATAACAGAGGCAGGTCTTTAATAACAGAGGGAGGTCTTTAATAACAGAAGCTGGTCTTTAATAACAGAGAGGTAGTAGGTCTTTAATAACAGAGGCAGGTCTTTAATAACAGAGACAGGTCTTTAATAACAGAGACAGGTCTTTAACAACAGAGACAGGTCTTTAATAACAGAGACAGGTCTTTAATAACAGAGACGGGACTTTAATAACAGAGACAGGTCTTTAATAACAGAGACAGGTCATTAATAACAGAAGCTGGTCTTTAATAACAGAGACAGGTCTTTAACAACAGAGACAGGTCTTTAATAACAGAGACAGGTCTTTAATAACAGAGACAGGTCTTTAACAACAGAGACAAGTCTTTAATAACAAAAGCGGTGGCATGTGAGGGGGGGGGGGGGTTCCAGTGCCCCCTACCACAGCAGGGAAAAAATCACACAAAGGCAAAACAAAATACATTAAAAAATGTGTTATGTTTAGGGCGACCTGTTATAGTTTGTAGAGCAAATTCAGAAGCGAAGGTTTTGGGAATGTTGACTGTGATACGTCGGAGAGAGTAGCGAAGTGGGGGATTGGCTTCTTGAGGTTATCTTGAGATGATTTCGGGGCTTTAGTGTCCCCGCGGCCCGGTCCTCGACCAGGCCTCCACCCCCCAGGAAGCAGCTTGTGACAGCTGACTAACACCCAGGTACCTATTTTACTGCTAGGTAACAGGGGCATTGGGTGAAAGAAACTCTGCCCATTGTTTCTCGCCGGCGCCTGGGATCGAACCCGGGACCACAGGATCACAAGTCCAGCGTGCTGTCCGCTCGGCTCCGACCGGCTGGTCGTATATGTGTGTGTGTGTATGTATTTCTGGACCACCGTTGCTGATTCCGACGGTGTACGAATCCTTAGATACTGACGCTGTGCCGTCCCACTGATCCCGATATTTTAGGGTTCCAAAGATCCCAGTTTGTTGACGTCTGCAGGCAGACTTGTGACCTATTGGCAGGGTCAGCAGCAAGAGGCTTAGGAAGCTAATGATTAGGGACTTGATTTACGAAGTAGTTACGCAAGCACTTACGAACCTGTACGTCTTTTCTCAGTCTTTGGCAGCTTTGTTTGCAATAATTAAACAGTTAGTGAGCTCCTAAGCACAAAAAGGCTGTTTATAATAATAACATCAGTTGATTAGGATTTTTTTCAAGCTTGTAAACTGTTTAATAAATGTAAACAAAGCCGTCAAACGTTAAGGAAAGATGTACAGGTTCGTAAGTTGTTGTTATAGAGTCAGCTACTCGGAACAAGTTCCAAGTAGCACGGGCTATGGTGAGCCCGTAGTGGACTTACCTGGCACAGGAGCGGGGCAAGTAGCACGGGCTATGGTGAGCCCGTAACTTACCTGGCACAGGAGCGGGGCAAGTAGCACGGGCTATGGTGAGCCCGTAACTTACCTGGCACAGGAGCGGGGCAAGTAGCACGGGCTATGGTGAGCCCGTAACTTACCTGGCACAGGAGCGGGGCAAGTAGCACGGGCTATGGTGAGCCCGTAACTTACCTGGCACAGGAGCGGGGCAAGTAGCACGGGCTATGGTGAGCCCGTAACTTACCTGGCACAGGAGCGGGGGCAAGTAGCACGGGCTATGGTGAGCCCGTAACTTACCTGGCACAGGAGCGGGGGCAAGTAGCACGGGCTATGGTGAGCCCGTAGTGGACTTACCTGGCTTAGGAGCGGGAGCAATTAGCACGGGCTATGGTGAGCCCGTAACTTACCTGGCACAGGAGCGGGGCAAGTAGCACGGGCTATGGTGAGCCCGTAACTTACCTGGCACAGGAGCGGGAGCAAGCAGCACGGGCTATGGTGAGCCCGTAGTGGACTTACCTGGCACAGGAGCGGGGGCAAGTAGCACGGGCTATGGTGAGCCCGTAACTTACCTGGCACAGGAGCGGGGCAAGTAG